TATGACAAACCGTAGCCAAGTGAAGATGGCAATGAGAATGCATGAATTGGCTAACTTGGTGAACATCAAAAGATATATCAGGGTGAGTAAAATTCAATTAATTGAGGCTACCCACAAGTTGTCGGTAGAATAAGAGATTAGGCAAAAGATCACCATGATCACGATGATAATTAACATTAACCTCAAGGGGAGTATCTATCAGATCAGTTGATTGGAGACCATCCATAGAAATCAAATATGTAGCATACTTGTGTTGATGGAGAAAGATGCCATTGGATGTATAATGAACCTCAAGACCAAGAAAATAATGCATTTTACCAAGATCTTTCATATTAAATGAATCATGTAACTCCTGTTTAAGTCTCTATATTAAAGCATGATCAGAACCAATAATAACCATATCATTAACATACAGAAGAAGTAAGATAATTCTCGTAGATGTGTTATGAATAAATAGAACTCAAGTAAAATAGAACCCAAGTATATGGAACGCAATTTCTTATACCATGCTTAAGGTGCTTGTTTCAAACCATATAAGAAACGTTTAAGCTTGCAAACATCCTTGAATGAAGAAAACAAACCTTAATGAGGTGTCATATAAATATCTTCAATCATGACACCATGAAGAAAAGCATTTTTCGCATTTGTTTGATGAAGAAACCATCTATTAGAAGCATCTAAATATATTATAGTGTAAACAGTTGTCATTTTGGCAATCGGTGCAAATGTCTCATCATAATCAATTCCATATTCCTACTTGTTTCCTAAGGAAACCAAGTGAGCCTTGTAAAGGTCGAGAGTAGAGCTGTCAAAATAGGCTACCCATACTTAAACGGGTTGGCCCTGGTGGGCTCGAGCTTTTTAAAACTGGGCCAGAAAAGCTCATTTCTAATATGAACTCCAAAATTACTGCCCGGGCCCGACCCTATATGGTTTTCGGGCTACCCGGCCCTAAACGAGTTTTTTTTATTAAAAATAAAAATGTCATAATATTTATTATAAATAAAATTAAAAATTATATTATTTTAAACATAATATATTTTTAAGTACTATATTATCTTTTATAAATACTATAATGTATTTTTAAATACAATACATGTTTAAATTGTATAAAATAATATTTGAATATTTAACATAAGAGAAACTAATAGAATGCGAGAAAAGAGTGTTGATTATATTAATGTATAATATTTAAAAGAGAAAGATTGAATATAATAGAGATAAAATTTAGTGAGGTGAGAAAAATCAATGTGTTATTTTGGAGTAAGACAATATAAGTATTAATATAATTTTTAAAAATTTATAGCAAGGTGGGTCTAATGGGATACCCACAGCTCATATGGGCTAGCCCTAATGGGTATCAAGCTTTTTAAGGCTAGGCTAAAAAAGCTCTGAAAATATGGGCTATAATTTTAAGGCTCAAGCCCTATGAGTTTTCGTGCTGGCGGGTCGACCTATACTAGCCCATTTTGACAGCTCTAGTCGAGGGACCCATCAGAATTCAATTTCACATAATACACTCATTTACAGACAATGGGTTTGACATTAGAAGGACAAGACACAATATTCCATGTGAAATTCTCTTGAAGAGCTTAGAGTTCCTCATTCATTTATTTTATCCAACGCACATCTTTCACAGCCTATGAGTAAAAAGTAGGAATAGATATGCTAGAGAGTTTGGTTGTTAGAGAAGTTTATGAGGAATCATATTTGTCTGGTGAATATCTATCTAGTGCTTGAGATATTCGACCAGAATGTTGTGGTTCAACCAGTACAGAATCTGGTAGCAGTTCAGGGTCGAAAAAGGGTGTGGGAACCTACTCTCTATGTTTTCTAATACATGACTTGGTTTGTAACGTGTTATAAATTTAGGCATAATAGAAAACTTAGGAAGAGTAACAATATCATTAATGGCAAGAGAAACACATGGAAACATGAATTGATTATAAGCAAATGTCACATTCCTAAAAATGTGAAAGTAGTGGCTAGAGACATCATGACACACAAAGCCCTTATGAGAGTGATTATACCCCGTAAATTCACATTGAATAGATTGTGCTCCAAGCTTATATCTTTTAGATGGAGATACGTGAACAAAACACACACACACACACTCACAGAAACATATGCAAAGCACTATAATCATGATAAATTTTAAAAAGATGAAAGAAAGGATAATCAAGATCAATAATTATAGAAGGAAAATGTTTGATCAAGAAGGCGATTGTGAAAAGAGCCTCCATCCAAAATTGGGTGGTACAAAAGCTTAGAGAGCAAGGTGCGTATTACATCAAGCAAATGGTGATTCTTATGTTCTGCCATGTCATTTCGTTGAGGGGTATTCAAACAAGATCCTTGGGACAAGATGCCTTTTTGTTGAAGGTATTCCTGAAACTCATGAGTCAAAGCAAAAAAATTTAACACTTGCCTGAAATTGAGTTTCAACATATGTCAAAATTTTCTTAAACATGGAAAACACTTCAAATTTGCAACATATACAATCTATCCAAGTAAAACGACTATAGTCATCAATAAATGTGACAAAATATTTATAGTTAGAATGAGAAACTACATGAGACAATCCACATACACCATTATCAATCATCTCGAAACATGTGAAAGCACAATGAGCACTAGTTAGAAAATGAAGTGATTTACTTTTATCCAATTTGCAAACAAAGCATGAAAGAGAGGTGTTAAAAACAATATTTTTATTTCTCAACAAAGCACTTTTACATAAATGAGGCAAAACCATATAGTTTTGATGGCCCAATTTTCTATGTCAATCTCATAAGAATTCAAAACGTTATTACAAGCAAGAGATAAATGATTAAAATAAATTGGAGTTGAAACAATATTTCCACTTAAAATCCCTTCGTGATCATCTTCTTTGGCATCTGCTCCTGAACAAGACAACCAACACGAAAAAAAATTAACATTATAACTTTTATCCACCAGTTGACTAACAAACAATAAATTGGAAGGTTCGATCACAAAAATTGAAATTAACAAAGGTGCATTGTGATGACTAAAATACATCATGAGTTTTCTCTGTTATTTTGTGTGCAACTAAGTGAATAAATGCGTGAAATTAATAGTGAAAATCAGATAAATTACACATTTATAAAAAATAATCATTGAACGGTCTCTAATTTAATAATTTAAATTCTTTCACAATTTATAACATTTATTAATCCCTAACAACAACATTTATTTATAAATATAAATAAGTGGTTGATATTTATAAATCAACAATTTTTAATATATAAATGGATGGAGGGGAGGGGACTAGAACCCATGAAACAAATTTGTAAGTTATTTAAAAGAAACCCTACATTTTTTTATGGTAACCCTTCTAATACAAATATATTTAGAATTTACTTTAGATGCATTGTCACTATTTTTTTCTAATGTAACCATCTCAATTTCAAAATGGCATTGATGTTTTATTATTTCTAAATCATAATTTGAAAAATGTTGATTTGTGTGGACTTCAAAACATGTAAATTGACCAACGACTATTTGCTCAGTTTGTAAGAAGATTACTCACTTGAAAGATGTAGATTCAACTCCGGTGAACGTTCGAGACTTCAGCTAACCCAAAAAAGAAAAATTAGAAACATGTAAATTGGATTAAGTCATGTAATAAAGTTTCAAATGTTATACAAGAAGGTTATAGAAAATGGCATGGAACTTGGATGTGGGGCATATTTAATCCCCACTTATATATGGCATGATTCATAGTTTATTTTTTTAATTGATTTTCCAATTTAGTGATTGGCTTGTGTATCTGATGCCAAAATGAATATAAGACATTAGGTTAGTTGTCATTATTTTTGCATACATCCACATCCACATGACATGTCTCAATTCCCAATCAATAATGCTTATTGGCTATTGCGTTGTTTGGTAGTAACTAGTGTCTCCATGTGGCCCTATTAAACTGTTACTAAAAGCTAACAACACAATTATTATTATTTTGTTGTTACTTATTATCAAGTTTTATATTGTTTGTCTTTTTAGCAATTGTTGTTAAAACGTTTTTCATTTTACTTACGAAATCAAACTCTTGTCACCGACAATTATCACAAATTTTACTTTAACCTAGACCATTTTGTGGAGTGTAATTACCCTTTTTCGACTACATAGTTGTCTTATCTTATTAATAGTTGTCATTATTATAAGTAAATTTGATGTTTTTGTTACATTTGACATTAATATATTTGGTACTACATAGTTGTCTTAACTCACAATGATGATTTTCCAATGGATGGCTTGCTGATTTGCGAAGAAGAATGTCGAAGTTGTGCAAGGATGTTCTGCAAAGATGATTTTCTGAAACGCAAGCATGCTAATGAATAGGAAAACGGCAAAAGAAACACGTGAATAATATTCATTTTGTATTGTTGCTAAAATAGGTTATAACAAAACAAAGCTACTAATTGGATTCCAGACTGTCATGCATATTCATTTTGTAGTGTTGCTAGATTAGGTTAGTATACACCATCTGAAATATGTTACACCACAGCTGGCAAAATAAATTGCAAGAAAAAATACAAGTACAAAATTGAATATGGAGATTCAGAAATAGCTATAAATATGTTCCTTGAAAGCTATAATGTATTGCTGCAACAAGAAAATGGTAGGACAGAACCAAGATAATGAAGTGACACCTAAATATTTTTCTGTGGAAAATTGGATCTTTCCAGCATGAGTGCCCACCCAACTACTGATTTCCTTTCTAGGTTGTAATGCTAGCACGTCAATTCGAGTAAAATCGGTTCGTCTGCAAGAAGATAACAAATTAACCTGTGTCATGACCACAAGAAAGCCTACTTAAACAAAATTCTATGTACACAGCATCAGATTCAAGTTCACACAAAATATTTAAATGGATGGTCAGAGAACAGAAAATGTACCTTCATTATGATCATTGCAACTCTCAACGATAGATATTTGACGCTTTACGTTTTAATCTTCCTTGCGATTCTGGTAAAACCTCATCTTTGAGAGTCGCAATACTGAGAAAATTCACATTTGCACAAACCTGCTCTAACCTGGTATAAACGATTTGTTTTTAACATGAGAATTTGAATACAGGAAAGAAAAGTGTCTGAACAAACAATTAGTTATTAATTAATTATTATAAGTAAAAGGTTGCAAGCATCGACATATCTCAGATGTTGCTGCTAATGAATAATCGAGAGGGGACTCTGATGGGATTAATTCACTTGTCAGTAAGAATTTTATTTTATTTTTATGCGGTGCTAAACAACTAGACATCGAATCACTATGAGTAAAACATACCAAAGGGTTTGTTTTAGTATGGGTTATAGGCAGACAAGAAAAAACATGGCATCAACACACCTTACGAATTGTAAAAGACACCCTTCTTGAAGCCCTTCGGATGACTCTTCCATTCACTTTGTCAATCTTGTGGTGTGGAATGTAATGATGCCATGCATATCGTGCTTCACCGGATAAAAGTAACAAAGATCTAGGGGGGAGATAGATAGCCTTTTTAATACAATTTGATCCATCTTCTGGACTTTCTACTTTTGTAACAGTGCTTGAGGCAACTCTAGGGCGCCAGTCGCCGTCTTCATATCGTCTGAATTCCATTATACAAGGCCCTGCTAATGAAAGGCTGAAAATTAAATCTTCAAATGCAGAGTGAGTGTCTATATGAGGCGATAAACCCACTCCAGGTGGGTACTCATTTACCTGTTAACAAAGCAACATTGAAACTCTGAACCTCAAACATAAAGAGACAGTGATAACAACTCAACGCACCGGAAAGTGTTAAAATAATAACAACTCACGAATGAAATAAAAACAATAACTTTTTATCATTAGATTAAAAATTCATTAAGATTTAGTACAGTAGCGAGGTATAATACCGTAAGTTGGTCCAAAACTATGCTATCAGGGTCGACATTCTTGAAAGTTGGACATGATGATATTCTTTCAAGTATTGGAGACAAAAATGAGGGAAGCTCACCTAAGCATCGCTTTGTATTAACATTCCGAATCTGCACAAAGTAGAAAGGAAAGTCAGGATGAATCAAAACTTTCACATTATTTTGCAACTTATTTGTCATCTATAACACAAATTTCCAATTAGTTCAGCTCAGAATAAGATCATCAATTGTATTAAAGAATAATTATTTTGTTGGCTGGAACAAGTTTGGATTTCACACTAATTTAGGTATACAGGGACCAAGAAATAACTGGAGAAACCCAAATAATCCTTAAAACTTACATCATAACAAAACTCATAACCATAGTGTTGAACCCTTCTTTTGGCAAGACAATTCCAAGGCCTACTGTCAACGGCCTGGAGCAATTCCTGAGAAGATGGAAAATGACATCATTTTGTAAACAAATTCCATTACAAGCAACAACAGTGTAACTTTGATATGAAAGGAAAAGACCAGCAAACCTCCTCTTCTTTAGCACTGATGAAGTCGTGAACTAGGTAGAGTCCGGGAATGTTCAGATCTGAGGCTGTCATAGATACAGAAACCAAGTCCTTCACTTGATCCTTAACAATGAAAAGTGTAAATCCATGAATAAACATAAATATAACACAATTGCTAGGATGGAAAAGTGTCCCGTGTGGTCTATGACAGACCGATGCATGAATATCAATTAAAAGGTTAAAATTTCAATGATGACAAGCATCATCAACATTAAGTAGAAGTTCAGATTCCTCCACCCACCTCTTCACAACTGAAACAATCACCTAATCAATGTTTGATTACAGAAAACAAAGAAAACATACATTAGTTGAATTTTGAGGTAGGTACTAATATTTGTCAGCACATGACTTGGATGGCTACCCAATCGTTTCTACAGAAACAATGAAATGGTATAAACTTACGATCCATTGTTTGGATTAATGAAAGAATGATGGAATGCATTCATCTCATTCCACCACTTTCCATCATTTTTTGTACCCTCCGATTAGATCTGGGCATAATGATAAAATTGCTTTATTCCATCATGAAATATACAAACAATAGAATGACATTTTTATTTCATTCCGCTCTGAACACTCCATTCCACTAGGTTCTTTTTACAATATCCAAACATAGCCTAAAATCAACCTAAATATAAATAAGAACATGCAACATGAACATGAACATAAGCATGAAACATTGCAATTCAAATTACTAATATTTATCTATGTAACTAGTACCTGTGGATTTGGCTGAAGAACTGAATAACGAATATACAAAGAACGACCTCCAAGTTCAGCACATGGCTTTCCATGTAATGCCATTAAAGCAGATTGTGCAGAACTCACTTCAGAATAAGATACAATCACACGTGTGCCACTATCATCAGCTGCATAAACTCCATTGAGTTCCCCAAATTTGCAGAAAACAGAAGCAATATCATCATCAGAAATTCCCACGGATGGTCCACAATTTGCTACGAATAGATTAGAGCTCGATTCATCAGCGTTCTTTGGACGACCAAACCTTGGCAAACCCATCACTATATGTCAATGATAATTGACTCAATGCTTCATCAATTTTGTGTGTTTCAATTTCAATCGGATGAATTGAACCCACTAAAAATTAGAATGAAATTTTTCGAACACCACTTTCAAATGCTGAGAAGAGGAATCAAGTTTCAATTTTTTTACCAATTGGGGGAGAGTTTAATCTAATCTGCATAATCAAAGTTACCCTCGATAACAATGTGTAGAACCCTAGTCATATACTGAAAGAAAAAAATTTGAGCGAACCCATTTTTAGTCTTCGAAAAACTGCAAAATCCAACTTTGTTTCTAGGAAAAGTATAAACAAATTAATATTTATTTTATTTATACCATTTTTTTTGGTTGATAAAAAAATTAAAATGTTTAATTTCAATTTTGATTCTTTTATTATTTTTTATTATTTTAGTTTTAATTCTTTTATTACTTTGTATTATTTTTGTTTCAATTCTTTCACTTTATAATTGAGTTTTTAATTTAGTTTTTTTTAAGTTTTTTTAGATTTTAGTTATTTTTCTCAAAATTAATTGCATGTATTTCTTATATTGCTCTTTCGTTATAAATTATTTATACTAAAAAAACATATAAGTAATTCAGTAAGGTTAATCTTTTATAATCTCATCCCAAACAAGAGTATCACATATAGTATTTATTTTTAAAATTTCATCAATTAAATCACAATTAAATATTACATCCACTCATTCTCTCTTAATTTAATTTTCAAATCTTTTTCATATTTTTTTCTACACTTTCTCATTTTCATTTTAATTTTTTTTCTCTCTATTTATTTATTTATTATTACTACAAATACTAATAATTTATTTCTAATTTTGACAAAATTGATAATTTATTTTATCTCATAGATTACTATCAACACAATATTTATTATATTTTAATCAATTATTGTCTTAATTTGGAAACATAATCCTTATTTCTAATTTTTTTTCTTTAATCACCTCATAGTTTTTTTTATTCTTTTTGTATGATTATTTAATAGAGTTAAATTTATATGATTATTATTCATTTTACAATTAAATAAATTATTTTAAATTTTGCACGTGTATCAAATACATTTCATAATGTATCAAATAATTTTTTTATCTCACGGGTTATTATCATCACAATGTCTATTTTATTTTAATCAACAATTTGTCTTAATTTAAAAGACAAAATTCTTATTTCAAAATATCAAATTTTCTTTTTTTTCTTTCTTCTCACGAATAATTTTACTTTTTCTTTTTTATGATTATTTAATAGAATTGAGTTTATAATTATTTTTCATTTTACAATTAAGTAACTAATTTCAAATTTACATAAGTAAATAAATACATTTTATTTCACATGTCACTATCAGCACAATACATATTTTGTTTTAATCAACAATTACCTTAATTTAAAAGATAAAATCTTCATTTTCAAATATTAAATATTCATTTTTCTTATATCTCATGGATCCTTTTTTATTTTAATACAATTGAGTTTATATAATCATTGTTTATTTTAAAATTATCATATCAAATAAATTTACATGTGCGGCCGCACAGGTATTTGGCTAGTTGGATTAGAAAAAATCAATTAAATCGACTATTCGAACCAAACCTAAACAAAAATAAACCGTTTGTTTTCGCTTCAGTTCAAAAACCAAAACAGACCAATAAAAATCGACGTGGTTTAGTTCGGTTCTTGATTTTTGTTTTTAGGAACTGTCAAATCGATGAACTGAACCAATGACTATACATACCTACTTAATCTTTTATTTAACCCATTATTAAGTCCAAATTTTGTATGGGTCTGAATCTTCTCTATCTTTGTTGACATTTCCTTCCTTTCAACAAAACATGCAGTCAAAATTATACTCTCAACACAATAAATAGAAACCATAAGACACAAAAACTTACTTTTACCCAAATGTTGTTTTGCCTGCCCGCTACCATTGTTTCTCTCACCACTTTCATTCTTATAGGTTATTGTTTCTTTATTCATGTTCATGTTCTCTTCGTTAGTTTTCATTTGTTTTATTTTTTTAATCTTTTTTGTTTCTTATTCTTCAATGAATTTCCTTCTAGTCATGTTACGAAATAATTTTGATATGTGTTTGAGGTGTGAAATATGTTAAACTATGTGTCATGAAACCTTTTGTTATTATTATTTTGTTTTATTTGTTAAGCTTCAAAATTCCTTCTCAACATTCTCATATCAAGCTTCAACTTTTGTATTCAATAATAAACTTATTTTGGAATGCAATTAAAATCATGCCCATGCTTCGTATGGATTAAGAACAACTTGTAAGTTGTTCGAAAAGTACAACGTGGAATATATTATGTGAAGTGTATTATTTAAAAAATAATAGTATAAATGATTAATGAAGTTTTGGGTCCATCTAAATATTGTAGATTTTATTTTTAGTCCCTCCAAAATTTTCCTTCAATAAATCGTTCCTTCTAAATTTTTCGTCTAAACAATTAGTCTCTAACGTCAGATGCCACTAACGGATGCTTATGTGGCATGCCACGTGGAACTTTTTGATGATTGAGCATACTCGTGACAGTGTCAATGTGGCAAAAACTTTATGTAGATGTCATGTGGCAATTTCTTCAATTTTTTTATTTTTTATATTCATAAACTCAAAATTTATAGTTAACTTGTAGTTAATTCCAAACTAATTCCTAGCTAATTTGTATGACTTAAACTTCATTTTTTTTTCTTGGTTTCCTACTCTTCTTGATTTTCTCTTACATTGGTCAGCTATTAGAACTTGCAACGAAGAGAAACCAAACAAATAAACATATCCACATACACTCCTCAATTAGATAATGAGAGCTCCCACATACAAAGGATATGTGTTGCTGAAGATAAATAGATGATGTAATTCTCAATAACCATATTTAGATAATGACATTCTATGTTGACTTTGTAATTGCTGAAAATATAAGTGTAACAACTACATTAGACACATCGCACAAAATTTCATGTGGGAGAACAAAGACAAGACACTTTTGAAGAAGTTTATGTTGGAAATTCACCTCACACCCTATGAAGAATTCCCTTCAATCTTGATCTCAAGATTGATGAATAAATCCACAATATGATAGTAATGGTAATAACAAGTAATTATCAAGAACAACAAAAGAAAAGAAGAACACACAAGAAAGAGAAGAATGAGAGAAGAAAATATTTGGAGAGAATGTGTTACCCACAACTGTGGGATTTCTTATTGAACTTTCACTTGCTAACTGCAACTATGAAATCTGTTCTGTTGTGTTTTTGAATACAAAGCAAGGCACCCTATTTATAGTTTTAGGTTTACACTATCCCAAACCATAAAAGGCCCAAAATATTCAAATCAAATATAATCATATCAAATCAAATCAAAACAATGAATTACATTTAACACACCACCTAATTCATTGTGTCTAAACTGTCTACATTCATCATGGCTCTTAGTCTTCTGAAGGCTTCGACCTGCACTCCCTTCGTCATGATATCTGCAATCTGATTCTCAGTTCTGCAGTGTTCCAACTTCATCTTCCCTTCTGCTACCTGCTCTCGAAGATAATGGAACCTCATTTCAATGTGCTTGCTTCGACCATGAGCTATTGGATTCTTCGCCAAGTTGATAACTGACATGTTGTCTATCTTCATGGTAATTGCTCCATGATTCTTCCCTGTGATTTCTTCGACCAAGTTCACCATCCAAGTTGCTTGACATGCACAAAGAGAAGCAACTATATATTCTGCTTCGCATGATGACAATGCCACTACTGGTTCCTTTCTCGAATTCCAAGCAACTGGTGCACCACCTAACATAAACACATAACCAGCTGTGGATTTTCGATCCTCAGCATCACTACACCAATTAGAGTCTATGTATCCCACTAACTTGCATTCTTTTCCTTCATCAGCTGCTGGAAACAAAATACCATAGTTGAGAGTTCCTTTCATATACCTCAGTATCCTCTTCGCCGCTGCTAGGTGTGATACCTTTGGCTTCTGCATGAATCTACTTACCATACCAACACTGTATGCTAAGTCAGGCCTTGTGTGACAAAGGTATCTAAGTGACCCAATAAGTCTTCTGTATTGGGTTGGGTCGACATCATCTTTATCTGAATCCTTCGACAGTTGCAATCTGGGCTCAGCTGGAGTCGAAGTTTGGTTGAAATCTTGCATCTCAAATGTCTTGAGTATTTCGCCTGCATATTTTCTTTGGTGCATCATCAAACCTCTACTTGTCTTGTAGAATTCTATGCCAAGGAAATATGAGAGATTTCCCAAGTCTGACATTTCAAACTCCTCACTTAGGTCATGTTTGAAATCTTCGATCTCCTTCTTGCAACTCCCTGTTATCAACAAATCATCAATATAGAAACATAGTATAAGCAATTAGCCATTGCTTCTTCTTACATATACTCCATGCTCAATTGTACACTTCACAAATTCCTTCTCCCTTAAGAAGCTGTCGATTTTCTTATTCCAAGCTCTTGGAGCTTGCTTAAGTCCATACAGGGCTTTATGAAGCCTGTACACCTTTCTTTCTTCGCCTTGTTTCATAAACCCAACTGGTTGTGCAACATAAACTTCCTCGTCTAAGGGGCCATTAAGAAATGCACACTTCACGTCCATCTGACATGTGTGCCAGTTGTTCATATTTGCTAGACCAACAACCAACCTGATTGTTTCGATTCTAGCAACAGGTGCGAATACTTCATCGAAGTCGATTCCTTCCTTCTGAAGAAATCCTTGCCACAAGTCTCGCCTTGTGTCGAGTTACTTTTCCTTTAGGATTTACCTTCACCTTGTAAACCCACTTCACATCAATTGCCTTCTTGCCTTGTGGCAATTCGACAAGTGACCAAGTATCATTGACTTTGATGGACTCCAACTCTTCAGTCATTGCTTTCATCCACTTCGAATCTTTCAATGCCTCAGTTGCATTGACTAGTTCGACATCTGCGTAAAAAGCATAATGTACCAACTTACCCTCTTCATCGACT